AATGCAAAGCTCCAGCCGTTTCTGGCAGTCATTGTAACAAAGCTTTCTATTGGTCGGTAAACTTTCTATCGCGCAACCACGTGACATACACGGTTATGAATAGAATTACGAAACAACACCGTGCAGGCGGACAATGGGTATGTTCAAACATGTGCATGTTATTTGATAGATTTTCTAAACTGTATACATTTTTTGCAATTTGATAAATTCAGGGCATTTGTGAGGATGAGAATGTGCAAAGGTCTTTGACTCCCTAGGACCCCAGTGAAAGTGTGTGTGGATCCCTAGGACCCCAGTAACAGTGTGTGTGATTCTCAAGAACCCCACTGAAGGTGTCTGTGAGTCCCTAATGCCCCATGGAAACTGTCCGACTCAGTAGGACCCCAGTGAAAGTCTCTGTGACTCTATACTACAAAACTTCATGTTTTTGACCTAAATCTTAAAAGTATACCTAGTCGACACACTGAATTTGAGTAGAAAATTTGTTAAGATTAAGTTAAGATTAAGATTAAGTTAAGATTTGTTAAGTTTATAATATTCATGATTCCCAGTAAATAAATTAAATTTGTTATTTTCAGTATAAATGAGTTTCGACTTGCTAGCTGGCTTGCACAGCAAGAGGATATTCATCGTATTACTCTATACCAAGCTGACTTCAGAATGACGCCATGGACGCTGAGGTGTATTAGACAGGTGCACACTAGTTTTTTGTTCATTAAAAAAACATTTCTAAGACTAACGTTTGACTTTCTAAATCAAAGTGTACATTATTATTACTTGTAACCCACTGAATTTTACCAAATGCACTGGTACTGATTACATAACTTGTCTATTTCCACTATTCGTTTCGTGATTGGGTGAATAATTATCATTTTAAACATGCCGAAAACAAGCATTATACATACCTTCTTACTTCTTACCTCAACTTTAATTTTTCATAAAAAAAAGAAATCACCCCAACATGATTCAAACCGGGATACAAAATGGCAACCATGATCACATGAAAGGTACAACAACCTACACATGCCATGTCATGTTAAATGTTAATTAGTTCAAGTTCTGGTATTTAAAAATCAAAATTTGAAGGAAAAAACATTGTTTTTGTTGGTCTTTTTGAGAAGAGAGTTTACACTAATATGAGAAAGGATTTGTCTAAGATTAATATATATTCTGTTTCCATTCCTTTTCAAGTTTCCATTATATGTGATTTCACATCATGCAATATCTGAATAAAATTACATAATTATACTGTACATATTGTGACAATGAATTGAAAAACATGATATATTTTTGTGTTTCGACAATTTTCTTGATGTGTGATAAAACGTTCTACTAACTTACAATTGGTTTTACATGCAGGCGGACTCTATTCTAATTGTGGGGCTAGCTGACAAGGATCCAAACATTGTTGGAGACAGTGAAAAGCAGCTTGAGACTTTGGCTGTGAGGGCGCAGAAAGAACTGGTCTTACTGCACAAGGAAGTGAATGGTTCCTACAAAGAACCACGCAGAACAGTAGAGTGGTTGAATACTAGGGGGTGGGTTTCATCACATCATCACATCAGGTAAGAATCACATACTGTAAAATGACTAATTTTAACTGTGCTTAAATTTTGCTGATTTATCATTTCAGGCATATTTAGTGGGTTTTAAATGTCTGACTTATTATTTTATTGCCATTATGTCTAGGTGCCCCAAGAGAATATTTTCAAAACGGTCAGCCCAAAAACGTCAAGACATGTACAAAAAATTGTTTGAGAGACCACCAGACAGACATTCAGACTTCTCCAGGCTGGCCAGGTTTTTGACTGGTACCTCTATAGGACTGGTATTAGGTGGTGGTGGAGCTAGGTGTGTATATTTCAATTTTATGTTTGCTGGCATATTATATTATTTATATATATATCAGATATTTCCATGAAAATCAATGCTGTGGTGTAGATACTATTTTACCACCTATTGATAAGATATATTCAACAATAAACATAGAACCAGAACTTGCTTGCATACCTACTGAAATGACAACGCAGTTCAGGCCATGAGCAAACTTCTGACCCCAAACATTAATAACTGTACAATCTTATAAAATACTATGAACAAAAATTATATCAGGCACTCACCAATACGCAACAAGATGTTTTATTATTAGAAAAAAAACAAATTGCACAGCATCAGTAACTACAGCATAGACATTTTGTATTGCGTCAATGTGAACAAACCATTTTTGTCATAGGGGTGTCAGGTAATATCACTTGAATGAGTTTCAAAAGGATTCCATTGCTATAAGCATAACTCAATCGCTATTTTGGAGAATTCACTTATCAAATATTAAATTATTAAAATCAGAATGGAAAAAAACATTCACAACTCAAAAATTACAAATCAGAAACTTTACAGAAGATACCTTTCCCAATAATAGTCCAACCTTATTTGAATAGATACTGAACACCTCATGCATATATGCTTTGACAGATTACAATACAATAGTTACTTTTATCCAATCATGTGCATGTTACACTTGCCACAAATTGTCAATAGAGGACACATGTCGAAAAAAACAATAAAATCAAGATCTGTTTCTTCAATAAATAAACAGATATATATAAATAGTTTAGTATGCAATTCCAAATGTTTGGACCTCGATATTGGAATGCACGTTCACCGTATGATTTTGTCTTGGTGTGTGGTTTTGTTAATATACATTGTACGATCGTCTGATGACGAACGCAATTGTCTAGCGGGGATGGTACATGTATTTATGTAACAGATCTGACAGCTATTGTCGGCCAGTATTACTTATTGATAAGTAGCATAAACTTGAAATTTTATATTCAATACGTCTGATGTTTCAGTATGTTTGTTTTTTTAATCAATATTTGGGTGAAATGCAAATGATTGGTGTATCTGTTTTCTAGGGCACACTTTTATCATTTAAAACATACACATTGATGAGACATTATGGAACACATGTCAGTCATTAGCTTGATATTATTTAGTTTAGTTTTGTGTCCAGTTGTATCTAAAACAGCAAAGACACAATTGATGGATATGCGAGTGTGCTAGGATGTTTTGCAATCTGATCAAAGATGGCCTACTGGCGGCCACTAAGTTTTTAGGAACCCGCCTAGATCTGAGACATGCTAAGACTGTTTTGATTACAACATTGTGATTGGTTTTGCAAACTGAATCTACTGATGAAAAGCCATTGCCCAAATTTTCTAGCTATTTGGAATATAGTTACTTAAGACAACAATTACTAAATATTGTATATTATATATGATGACTTAATAGGATGATGTATTGATGGTCACTATTTGTATAAGTAACCTTGATCTGAGACATGTATGGACTGCTTTGATCAAAACTACTTTGTGTTTATAAACTGATCACCACTTTCCCATGCCTTTTGCTTATTTTCAAAGCAAATTGATCAGTTCCATCATTAAAGTCTGTTATCAACTAATAAATTGCACTAATTAAAACATGTGATTTATTTTTTTGACACTCAGAGGCTCTTCCGAAGTTGGAATCATGAAAGCCATGGAGGAGAATTCCATACCAATTGATATTATTGGCGGAACCAGTATTGGCTCATTTGTGGGTGCTCTCTATGCAGATGAGGTCAATGCAGATGCTGTCAGTCGACGAGCCAAAGAATGGTGCAAAGAAATGGGTACATACTGGAGTAAAATATTAGATTTGACTTACCCTGTTACAGCTATGTTTACTGGTAAGTTGTGGTATGTGATAGCTAACTGTAGCATACAGTATTTATTCTGTATGAGAAGCTTTTGTCACCAAAAATCTCTTAATTCCGAAATTGTTTGTTGTCTCGCCCAGATAAAGTCTAAAACAGGGACTTATGTTTTAGGTTTTGTTCATCTGTCCATTCATACATCATCATTTCTCGGCATGCCTGGATTGATTTTGTTCAAACTTAGTAGAAAGTCATTATGGAATGTACATGCATGTTGATTTGTTTTTCATTTGGATGACTTTTGTCTAAAAATACACCAAAAGTCAGTCTTTGAAATATCATCAACAATTTCTCAGGCACGTCTGAACCGATTTCCATCAAACTTAGCATTGACATTACTGATGCACATAATTGTTCTTATGAATTGAATCGAAATGGCTGACTAGCAGCCGTGTTTGTTTTATTTTCATGTGTCTTTAACTATTTCGTGGACGTGTTGATTTTAGTATGAACAATACACATGATGTTTTGTGTTCTTTGAATAAAAATGTCCAACTGGTTTATGTGTGGATTAAATGTTATTCCTATGATATGTCACTTGAACTGAAAAAAAGCAAGCAGTTTATCTGTCAACATAACCATGCTATTATCTATTGTTATTGTAGGGGGAAGCTTTAATCGGTCTATAGAAGATGTCTTCCGTAATAAACAAATAGAAGATCTTTGGCTTCCTTTCTTTGTTATAAGTACAGACATATCCAGCTCCAGTATGAGAGTACATACTAGTGGTGAGTTCATACTATTATGCAAGTTGTTTTTTTGTATTTAAATATATTTTATTGGGCTTTCTATCAAAGGTTACATAAGTATGAATTACATTATTACCTGGAATACATCATGTAATATACGGTATTTTTTGTAATGATTCACTTCTTTATTGTTTTGTTTAGCAACGAAACTTTATGTGGTATAATCTTTTCAGAAGTTGAATAAACTGTGTAAAGTTTGGCAATTTATTTTGCATTTTAGCATAGTAAACATGTTTTCTTACCAGAAGGCAGATAAAATTGATTTGCCAGCTGAATTCTGGATCTCCAAGGATCATACACAGTTTACTAGGTGGTGCTTTCAGTTTCAATGGTCTTGCCAGTGTAAAAAGTAAATCTCCCCAGAGAGCTACGACAAAATTACAGTTACTAAAAAGATGTGCATAATCTTCTATAATTGTTTTACAAAAAGTACAGTTGCACAGCAAATGTAATATCCCAGAGTTCAATGCGTTTTGTACCATCCAATATACACTTTATCTCCGCATGAGGGCGCAATTTCAAATTGAAAGAAAAACTAGCACACGCGCTGTCAGCATTCTATGACCTCAATTGACCCACCAGCCTCATTCCCAAATTGATACTGGAATTCTCATTTTGTTGATGTATTTGAAGTTTTTTACCCGGATCGTTTTAACCATTTCAATAAATAGTTATAGACTATAATTGATTATGCGAAATTACTGCATTTTTGGTGGTTTTTGGCCTACTCCTCTCACTGTTATGTTAGAATTACCGCGGGAGTGCCTTCTATGGATTTTCAACATGGCGGCTCACAATGTTACGTTCGGTAAGTCCTTTTTTTTTACGTTTTACACGAAAAAAAAGCAATTTTTAGAAAATAACGTTCGATTTCTTCAATTGTAGGCGCCCTTTTTTTTGCAAAAATGCTGGTCGTGAAAATGAAAAACGTAATTTTGTTGGGGATTTCGAGAGCTTTACAACGATATGTAGATCGACCATATACACGTTATGTCCCTCATAGGAGTAGTGAATAAAGTGTCATAATGTATTTTGTCATTAATTTGCATACCTTATATACACTATTGAGATAATATATACACTATTGAGATACTATGGGT